GTTGCGGCGCGCCGCAGGGCGCGCGGGTCCCGGGGCTGACTGGATCTCTGAGTCCCGGGAAGGCTCTTCTTCAGCTTTGTTCCCCGAAGCCTCACTTTCCACGTCTGTTTTTAAGAGGAAGTAATTCCCTGGACATTATTTGAGCGCTAACGGAAATAGAGATAGCAAAGCACTTTGCAGGTGTCTTCAGAACAGTGAAAGTGCCTGCTCTGCCAGACTGCTGAATGCCGGGCGCGGGGGGCAGGAAGTGGGGAGACCTGAGGTGTTTGAGGGTGTGCCGAAATGACCGGCCTTGGCTGTGTGCATGGAGGCTGAGGGGTGGTGTCGCCGTCATTGAGTGGAACGCAGCGGGAAAGGGAGTTTTGTTACTTTTGTGGGTGGTCTTTTTCCTGGTTAGGGGTGACTTCAGTGCTGTGAGAGTCGGTCCTCACAGCATCATCTCCACACGTCATGGAAGCCCAGTGAATTGGTTAGTTGGCATATCTGTTCTGCAGCCCAGATCAAGACCCGTAAAGGTTAAATATTTCACCCACAGTCACCCAAGTGTCAGGTGTGGTAGAGACAGGATCTGGCCTCAGATGGCCTGGTGTTTCTCTCTTGAGCCACCACTGTTGGACTTGAAGGAGGCACCCAGCAAATGGTCAGCAGTTGTCCTTACTTAGAGCACTTAACTCAGATGTGTTCTTTTTCGGTGGTTGGTGGTGGTGTGCCCTTCCTGACTGCCAGCTTAAATCTTCTCCCACCCTTGGCAGGCGGTGGACCCCTCGCCTTAGGTGTTCTTCTTTTTTCCAGGGCTGAAGAAGATGCAGAGCAGCCTAAAGCTGGTGGACTGTATCATCGAGGTCCATGATGCCCGGATATCCTTTGGTTGTTGTGATACTGGAATTTATTATGAGAAATGCATATTTGGCCTTTGTCCCCATTCTTGGCACAGAGCTCCTAAAACACTTGAATTTCCTAACTGCTGAGAGGGATAAAAAGTGTATTTTGTTACGTTAATGAGGTGACTTTTGGGAAGCTCCTAGATCACTTAAGGATGGGGGCTGATTGCCAAGGGAACCAACCCTGATGCGAGAGGGTTGGAACTTTCGGCCCCAACCCCTGACCTCCAGGCAGGGAGGGGACTGGAGGTCGAATTGATCGCCAGTGGCCAGTGATTGAATCAGTCACACCTGTGTAATGAAACTTCCCTGAACACCCAAGCAGACAGGGTTCTGAGAGCCCCCTGGTTGGTGGACACAGGGAGATGCAAGGCGCGTAGAGCCTGAGAGGCAGAAGCTCCCTGTTGCCCTTTCCAGACCTGGCCCTGTAAGTTTTTCTGACTGCTGCTCCTGAGTTACTTTTTTACCATAAACAGGTGATCTGGAGAGTAAAACATTTCTGTGAGTTCTGTGACCCACTTTGGCAAATTAATAGAATCTAAGAGTGGCGGAGGGTGGTCATTGGAACTTCCAATTCATAGCCAGTTGGTCAGAAGCACAGGTGACAACTTGGATTTGCAGTTAGCTTCTGGAATGGGATGGGGGCAGTCATGAGCCCTTAAGCTGTGGAATCTGATGTCATCTCCAGGTAGCTGGTGTCAGAATTGAGTTGAATGGTTGGACGCCTAGCTGGTGTCCAAGAATTGCTTGGTGGCGCGGGAACCCACTCTCCCATTGAACTGGGTGCAGAATCATGGTGGTACAGGGGAGGCCCTCCAGGCAGTGCTCAAGGCAGCAGGAAGCATTCCTGGTATCTGGTCCCTGCTCCGGTCCAGTCAGCCACCACAGTGGCCAGCAGCAGCCTCACCTGTCATAGTTATTGGTATTTAAAGCAGTGGTTCTCACCCCTTGTTAACACATTAGAATTCCCCCAGGAGGCTTTTAAAATTACCAGTCTGGGTTCCTCTCCAGGCCAGTCACTCTGTGGTGTAGGGTCAGGCCCATGTGTCTGGAGCCCCCCACTGGTACACGTGAGCATCATTCGTCTCAGACCTGCCTGCGCCTGGCGTGCCCAGCGGCAGTATTCTCTAGGGGGGACGTGAAATCCTGATTCAGGTGTCCTTGCCACCCAGGCTCTCCACCTGTGTCTGAGGCGTTAGTCAGCAAGGTGGCTGGTCTCGCTCCCTAATGAGAATGCTTTGTTGAACTGTTTTTGTTTTCTTTGAGCCACTTTTAGGTTCTCCTTTTATGACGAAAGTTGGAGTTACCATCTCTAGGTTGAAGGATGAGGGACCATTTTCACGATTTCAAAGGCTTGTTGAACTGTGATAAAGTAGCGAGTTTCTTAACTGTAGGTAAAGATTTCCGTTCATACAATGTCCCATGCTGGTCACAAGTGTTCACTGGTGATTATACGTCGATTATTAGAAAGTCGTCAAACCTGTAGGTGTGACTCAGTGTCCTGTGATGGGGGACAGCTCTCCTTTCATTCTCTAGACCTTCTGCCTTGTCACCCAGGACGTGGCGGGAAGCCCTAACGCCGGACAGCAGCCCTGCGCGGGTTCTGGGGGCTTTAGTGTTCTGGGTCAGCACAGCGTTGGTGAACCTGAGGGAAGGGTGCGGTTTATGGAAAGTTCCTTTGTCGTGTGGGTGAGGACACAGTGGCTAACTGGGGTCCTAGACCTACACCCTAGGCATGCTGGACTCAGACAAGATACCAGGAAGGGGCTGAGTGCTCAGAAGATGAAATAAGGCTTCCCCTCCTGCCTGTGTTAGTGGCACACCCGATGGGACCCTACAGTAAGCCCCATGGGTCCCTGGCTGAGGGGGAGAAGGGCCTGGCGATGGTAGTAAGGAGGCGAAACCTTTAGTGACTGTCTCCATCGGGTTACACAGAGGTGGCAGTGGTGGTTTGAGATGCTCTAGTTACAACGCCATGGGTGGCACTTTTTCAAGTGGTCATTCATTTTGAACTTAACCTACATTGGCAGCTTAACAACAGTTGTAAAACCTTCCAGCACGCGTTGTTTTCTGATTTTGTTACCACTGTTCCTGTTTGAGAAGCCACGTGAGAGCTACTGCCTGCCTGTCTGCCTCTCGGCTGAGAAGCAGCCTGTGCTGGCTCTGTGGCCGGGGGGCCCTCACGGATGGTGTACCTTTTCCCATGGTGAGGGCTGCGAGGCTGGCTCCCTCCTCTGCGTCAGTCCCTTCCGAAGGCGGTGTTGACCTGGTCACGGGGCAAAGTAAATGGACTGCCTGGTGCAGCTCGGAGCTTTTGCCTTAACATCGCCACATCCCGCTTTCGGGCCGCAACCCTCTGTTTCAGGAGACCCTGGGGATTAAGCCGCACGTGCTCGTCCTCAACAAGATGGACCTGGCAGATCTGAGCGAGCAGCAGGTAAAGGCCGTCACGCAGACACCGTCAGGTGTCGCAAGGAGCCGCCACAAGCTGACTCAGGCAGATGCCCGGCAGCGCCCAGGCCGGCTTGCTCTGCACGGTGCCCCTTTGACATGCTTCTCTTTAATCTGGGTTACCAAAGTATGCACCTCCCGGGGGAAGTGCCCAGGTGGTGGCTTCTGGCTCTTTGTGGCTGGGAGCACTCCAGGCAGCACTGTGGAATAGACTTTCACATTCCATTTCATTTTAATCACCTGAAGTTTTAGTGGCCGTGTGGCCGCAGGCCTAGATAGCACTGGCCTGGCGGTCTCCCGCGATGGCTGCGTTTGCCCTTAGGCGTCCACATTCCTGAGGGCATAGCCTCCCACACCCCCCAGCCTGGCTGCGGACTGCCTTCTGCACCGTGTGACCTGGAGGACTGGGGAGGCCCAAAGTAGCTAACGGAGTTCTCCAAAGCCAGGCAGGGTCAGTGGACTCAAGTTACCAAGTGCAGGGTATGTCCCACGTGTCCCAGAGGTCAAAGCACTGGGGATTCTAGAATGTTATTTATGAAGTGTGCATCTCTGTCCTTCTTGCTCTGTCTTCAACGCCTTTGCAAAGAGGGGTGTCAGAATGTTGAGTTCTGGCTTTTCAAGCCGTTAGGGTGCAGTTTTCCTTTTGCTGCAGCAAGAAGAATGTGCTCCAGGCTTCCTAGGTGATATGCTACGCTTGAGTTAAACTCCAGCCTCAAGCCTCTGCCACAAGGTTCCCCAAGAGACATCGGATACTAAAGCCACTGCTCTCCGTTCACTAGAACCTCAGCAGGAGGCCCCCCGCCCTGGGCCCTGTCTCACTGCGCGTGCTCCCGTTTCTGAGTGTCTAAGCCTCTGGGCTCGGGGAGGCTGTGCGGGTTCACTCCATTTGCAGGCATTAGCACGTGTCCTCACAGGCTTGCAGCTGAGTCTCATCAGCAATTGCTTCTGTCTTTAAATGCTAATTTTCGCAGAGTACTGGGCACATGGTTACCTGGCAGGGACCCACCAGGGTCTCACCTGATTGGGAGTCAGCAGGACCGTTTCCTTTGCTCCTCCTGTGAGGTGCTGCTGCGGCCGAGGTTTTGGAGAGGAGACGTCCCCAGTGGTGGTCCTCCATACACTGGGTGGTTCGTCCCATTTGAATTTATACACTTCAGAGTGTGCCTTCAAATATGTCTTTGTTTTGGTCTGTATTTTAATCTGCATCGTAACGGACAACTAAAATACATAACTAAAACTAACTGAATTAATGTGACTTTTTTGTTCATTTAAGTGTTAATCATGTTTTTAGGTCCGTAGCTAACCAAACAGTACAATACTGGTTTTAAAAAATACGCTTCATAAGCTGATTTCACTGGATGTTAAGATCAGTAAACTCAGATTAACTTTCGGGCTTTTAAAGTGTTCCCTGTGCTTCGTGATCAGGGTGGGTTCCGAGCTTCAAGTGGAGTTCACTTGGTGAAGCTCGTCAGATGCACAGAGCAGCGCGGATACTAAAGGAGGACCAAACCACGTCATTCCTGTCCCGGGTGTGGCTTCACGATAACCTAGTTTAGCCTCAAATGACAAGTACTGGAGTCCCCTTTTTTTTTGAACCTGGAACACAGATTGAAGAGGGGCCAAAAGGCAGCTCAGCCCCTGGCCCTGGGCCCTTCCCTCCTGTCCTCTCTCATATGGAGCCAGCTGCCCTAGGCAGCCCTCCTCCGAAGTCCCTTCACAGCCCACACTGTCCCCGGTGCTCCATTGCCGGTGCCTGCGTCTGCCACCTGTGCTGCCTGGCCCCCCTGCATCCGCAGCTGCAGAGGCTCTCAGCCGAGAGTGTGCCTGGCCGGGGGGGCCTGGGATTCTGGCATATCGCGCCACCCACATTTTTATTAGCATTTAACATGAATGTCTCTTGCCTTGCTTCTCTCTTTCAGAAAATTATACAACACTTAGAAAGAGAAGGCCTGAAAAATATCATTTTTACCAACTGTGTAAAAGATGAAAATGTCAAGCAGGTAGGCTTTTTTTTTTTTTTAATACTCTAATGCTTCTGCTTAATTTCCAAGAAACAGTATGAACGATTTTATGCTTTCATAAGAAGTGGAGTTTTGGAGACAAGTCTCAAATGTGCTGGGGCTCCTGGGGCACACTTGTCTCCTGGTGCCAAGAGCAAGTGGGCGCTACGCAGCCGTGATGGGTTTGAGAGGGCCCAGGGGCAGGCCGCACCTGCCGGTCCAGTTCTGAGCATGGGAGCCCTAGGGGAGCCTAGGGCTTAATTTTCCCCAGTTGCATTTGGAGACTTTCGCTGGCTGACGTGCATCTCTGCTAGAAGGTGCTTGTAGTTATAGATGTCATCCTCCTGGGCGACTGTTCTGCTGTTCGTGGTGGAGGAACAGAACAGGGCACAGGTGACCACCCTCTCCCCGCCAATGCGGTCTGAGCCTACGATGCGGACACTGGCTTTTTGATGTGGACACTGGAACTGAGGTGGGAGTGGTTCCCGCACACGCATGCCTGTGTGCTTGGTGTGTTGCAGATCGTCCCCATGGTCACTGCGTTAGTTGGGAGCAGCTACCGCTATCACCGAGGCGAGGTGGGTTCGTGGGGCCCTGTGCTGGTCATGGAGCCCGTGGCTCACCTGCCAGGCAGAGCTGCGCACGTTCCACGGTGGGCTGTGGCCCGAGGATGGTGCGGGCACGAGTCTCTTGGCATGAGCCTGGCTGTAGGGAGGGTGGGGCCCCATGGCGTGCGCCTGGTGGGGGGCTGGGCGGGGGCGGCTGTGCCCAATCCCCTGCCTTTGTGCCTCTGCAGAATGCGGAGTACTGCATCATGGTGATCGGGGTCCCCAATGTGGGCAAGTCCTCACTCATCAACTCGCTCCGGAGACAGCACCTCAGGAAAGGTACTGCCAGCCGCGCCAGCTGACACGATGCTTCTTCCTAGAGCGGCCGCTCTTGCCTGAGACAAAGGTAGCCGAAGCCCACAGGTCCTGAGCTGTCTTTCCACCAGAGGACCCAGGGAGCCGGCCGCCATGCGGTCATAGTGACACAGTCGCCCGGTGGACGTGCCATGCTCTGCTCTCGCCCGCGCCTTGGCTCTTCAGAGCGTTTCACGTGGGGCGGCTTTCTGACCTTTGGTGGTTTAGTCCCTGCACCTACCGAAGTCCTTAGATCAGTCGTGCCTGGAACGCCGCACGGCTGACAGGTCTGGTGTGGGGTGGGAGGCGCTCCCCCCGCTCAGCCCTCGGGGGCTGTGCGCTGCCCTCCCGGGGCCTCGGGGGTGCCGCTGGTTCTCTGGCCGTGACGCAGGCACACAGGCGTCCACGGCGCGCTCGCTGCGCCGTCTCGCTTTCTGAGCACTTTGAAGTTTGACACACATTCGCACGTGTTCTTTATTAACGCCTTCCGGCACGCGACTCAAGGGCTGCAGATTGCGCTGAGCCGTTGTGTGCGGGCGGCGTGTTTGATGCTCACTGGGGCGTGGTTGGTTATCTGTTCTTAAAGTTTTTTTCCTTTAATTGTAGCTTAAAAAAAAATTGGTGGCATCAAGTTGTGCAACCATCAGTGTTTCTTTCCAGATGTCTGTCATCTTAGACTGAGGCTCTGCAACCTTAAATACTGTCCCCCCGCCCCTCAACCTCGGCACCCTTGCATCTGTTTTCTGTCTGTGCATCTGTGAAGCCCTAAGACCTCATCTGAGTGGCATCACATAGTACCTATCCTTCCGTGGCAGGCTTGTTTCAGCATGATGTCCTCTAGGCCTGGCCACGTTGTAGCAGGTGTCAGCGTGTCCTTCCTTTTTGAGGCTGACAGTATTCCATTGTGTGGATGGACCACCTTAGCACATCCGTTCAGCCCCCAGTGTTCACGCCTGCCCTTTATGCTCGAGTTCATTCGGCAGATGGTTCTGAGTCCGCTGACGACACACCCTGAGCTGGTTGCCGTAGCACAGGCTGGCACCTGGGTCAGTTCAGCCCCACAGCCAGGCCTGCGGTGGGCAGCGCTGTGGGGCAGATCTACAAGGTGCAGGCCTGGCCCCAGGCGAGGGCCTAGTCTGGGAGCAGAGGGGGGCCTGCTGGAAGGGGCAGCTTTCTCTGATCTTCACAATCAGGCACTCACCTTCATCTCTCCCTAGGGCTTAGAGTACCTTTCCAGGCATCCGGAACGCACATTCCGGAACCTGACTTAGAAAGGGTCGTTACTGTGAGCTGGTTTGGGCTTTCGTGGGCTTCCACGTGCTCCATTGCTTATTCTGTGCCATATATGCCAGGCCTGTGAGTTCAGTATGTATTTGACAGCTCTTTTTATCCTGCAGGAAAAGCCACCAGGGTGGGCGGCGAGCCTGGGATCACCAGAGCTGTGATGTCCAAAATCCAGGTAGGGGCCTCACTCGGCTGCCGGGCCCCAGGCTCCGTGTGCACAGACCCATCTCTGTCCACACTGCTACATGCCGGGCTCCGCATTGGGCCTTACGCCAGCCCTGTGGGGGGCACACTGAGCCCTGTTGATGGACAAGGAAACAGGCACCTGGGACAGGGCCAAGCCGGGTGGAGCCACAGCTCAGTTTCTCCACATGATCTCTCTTCACCCTGGGAGCAGAAGAGGGGCTGTCGGGGTCGTTGCTTTTATTTATTCTCCACGTGAAGTGGAACCGAGTCCCGTGGGGAGGCTGGAAGCTGGCGAGAGCGACAGCTGGCAGGGCAGGTCCTGGGCCTCCTGTGCGTGGCTCCCTGAGCGGCCATCTGACTGCCTGCTATGCCTGCAGGTGTGTGAGCGGCCGCCGATGTTCCTGCTGGACACGCCTGGGGTGCTGGCTCCTCGGATCGGAAGCGTGGAGACGGGCCTAAAGCTGGCACTGTGCGGTGAGCTGGGGCTGCCTTCTGCCATGCCGCCGGCAGGCCCAGTGAGGGGGCGTCTGTGCCCGTTCGCCCTGGCCACGCTTGCCCCTGCAGCCATGCCCGGAGAGGCCCCGTCCCATCCTGCTGGGCAGACGGGGCAGGGTGGCCTCCTGGGTGCTCACCGGCTGTCTGCTTCCAGGGACCGTGCTGGACCACCTGGTGGGGGAGGAGACCCTGGCCGACTACCTCCTCTACACCCTCAACCGGCACCAGCTCTTGGGGTGAGTGCGGGTTGTGGGCCGATCCTTCCTCTCGCTGACCAGACACAGTTGGAAAGGGACCCCCTGGGGTGTCGCAGATGACAGCTGTCTGCAGGCCTTCAGAGCGGGTGTTTGACACGTCCTGACACACACGGGCACATCTGTGAGCCCTGCACAGTCACGGAGACTGCAGGTTTCTCGTGCTGTTTCGTGATCCTCCCTTCTCCCCCTTCTGCAGTCACCGAGTCACGCTGCAGTCACCCATAGTCACGGTCACCCACAGCTACACCATAGTCACCCTTGGCTGCAATGTGGTCACCCACAGTCACACTGCAGTCACCCACGGCCATGCTGCGGTCACCCACCCGCACGAGGGGTCATCTGTGATGCTGGGAGTACCCTTGCTGGCTGGCTTTGGCTCCCTGTGGTGACAGTGGCTCTGTGCAGGTATGTGCAGCACTATGGTCTGGATGGAGCCTGTGATGACGTGGTGAGCGTGCTGAAGCGCGTGGCCGTCAGGCTGGGGAAGATGCAGAAAGTGAAGGTGCTCACGGGCACAGGTGAGACGCGGCGCCTTGTCTCATCTGGCCGGGCTTGGGGACCATCCCAGTGAGCGGCCTGCTGTCTGGGGGAGGACATTGTGGGGAAAGGAGAGGCTCTCGAGGGGGAGGGGCTCTTGCCCATCCTCCCTGCTGCAGGCCTGAGCAGTGCCGGGTGCACCTTGTGTCCCACGCCTTCCTCCTGCAGCCTCGAAGTCCCCAGGTACTAGAGCTCCACAGGTACCTAGCTCAGGGTCCCTGAGGGTGATGGAGAGGTGGGCCCGCCCTGCATGGGGGTTCTTCCTTACCAGACCCTCCCATCTTCCCTAGGTGATGTGAACGTCATCCAGCCCAACTACACTGCAGCAGCCCGTGACTTCCTGCGGACCTTCCGCAGTGGGCTGCTAGGCCCTGTGATGCTGGACAGAGACATGCTGCACACGCCCCCAGCAGACCCCTGAACTGCTGCGGCCAGTGGGGGCCTCCCTCGTGCCTGGCCCTCAGCCCCAGGGATGGGCAGCAGCCCAGATCTTAGCACCCTCTTCCAGGGCTGTCCACTGGTCACTGTACACTCAGGTCTCTGCTCCAGGAAGGAGGCTGTGCCCTCCAGCCGCTCCACAGCCAGGCCAGCTGCTGGTTCCGGAGGCGGGGCCTGGGTGTGGACAGCAGGGCTGCTGGCATCCCCGAGCAGTCCTGCGTGCCTGGCCCAGTCAGGACGCTCACTAGGTCTTAAGGAAAAGCTAGTATCGTCCTAGGAGTGAAGCTGTGACCTGTCATTTCAGGTTTTAAATTAAAAGGCCTGTCTCAATCGGCCAGTTCCTTGTGTACCCGCACCAACTTAGGTCCCTGTGTCAGGGCTCCCTCTCCAAGGAAAAGTGGAGGGTGAACCGGTTAGTGACCGAGGGCGTCAGCCCTGGGCCCTGCAGTTAAGGGACAATCGTGGCCAGCACAGTGTTTATTTCACAGCGCCACTGAAACGTGCACACGGGTGAACAGGTGGCTTCGGTACCTGGAGCAGAACCCAAGGACTGGCCTGTCCCTCGGTGCCCTGGGGGCCACCCTGCTATGGCCCTGCTGCGGACCCGCTGGCAGGGTGTCCGTGAGGTTGGTGGAGACCCAGGGGTCCAGGTCACCGACACTGTTCCCAGGGCCACCTCCCGCACTGTCCAGGAGGTGTGGCCCTGCGGCCTGCATCTGGGAAAGGGCAGAGGCAGGAGGGGGCAGCCACCCCTGGCCAGGAGCTCTGGCTGCTCCCTGTCGGGGTGGCCTGGCCTTCCCGGGGGTCCTGTCTCCACCCGGAGGCTCTTCTTCCCGTAGGCGGGGCTGTGGGCTCCTCCACCCATGTGGCTTCCGCACACCCCATGCCAGCCATTGATCTCCCCAGATGACCCACCCGGAGTGCTGTCTCTCTCCTGTCAGAACCCTGAGCGCACGGGCGGGAAGGGTGAGATCTGGGGCTGCACCCGGCGCCAAGCACGCCCCGGGCTGGGGGTGAAGAGAGCTCTCGGCTGGAATGCTGTTTCATGAGCAGTCGACGGCTTGCTATGCTGTGCAGCCCGTCGTCCGGGTGGCTGGGCCCACAGTCCCGGGCCCTGAGGGCTCCCTGTGCCACACTTTCAGAGTCCCATGCCATCCGTGTAGCGAGTAGCAGACGCTGCATCCGAGGCCCTGGGCAGGGCTTGACCACAGCTCACTGGTCTTTGACAGCATCGAGCTTGTCTGGAATGGACAGAGGAGTGTCTGGGCTTGCCGTGCCCCAAGAATGATGGCAGTGTGGACGTGGGGGACCGCCAGGAGCTTCGTCCCGTGGCTCAGTGTGTCAGTCTGTAGAGAAAAACACGTGGTCTGGGGTCCTCCCAGAGACCCTAACCAGAGCCGGCCGTGGGGCAGCAGAGGGAGCGGGGGCTGCTTCTGGCACTGCTGTGCTGCAGCTGAGTCCAAAGGCCCCGTGGTCCGGTGGCCGAGGGCATGTCCTGGAGGCTCCTGCAGAGCACCAAGGGGGTGAGGTCCGAGGAGCCAGGCCCAGGAGTGAACCTGCCTCGGGACTATGGGTGTCGGAGCCTGAGGACGGGTGGAGAGCCCAGGCCCCTGGGCTGAGTGCACCGATGCGGTGGCTCGAGGGACATGGACTGTCCTTATTCATAAGGTCAACAAACCTGTGAGGACTTGCCTGGCGTTTCCCTGGAAGCCACCCTGGGCGTCCGCCCTGTCCCCATGACATCTGCGGCTTCGGACAGCCTGCTGTGGCGTCTGGGGAGCGTGGCCTCCTGGGCGCTTCCCTCTGCTGAGCAAGGCTCTCATACCTGTGTCCTTGCTGGTGCTACTCGGTCATCCTGGCCTTTCTCCAGGGACCTGCCTGTGGCCGCGTCCGTCCCCTCCACTCTCGCCACCCTCTGAGGGTGCTGCTGCCGGGACCACTGCGGGCTGAGCCAGGGAGGGCTTGTCCTGTCAGGTGCGGGCTCTGGGTGTGGCTGTGCCCCTGAGTTCATGAAGCCAGAGCTCTGGGAGTTTGAACATCGCTGTCTCCAGAAGGCCTGGAAGAGCTCAGCGGCCGGTCACGACTCAGAGCCAGGTGGCACCAGGGAGCCCCGGCAGCGGGTGTCACCGAGCGCCTGCGCAGAGGGGACACGGCCGGGGGCCCGGCCTCCTGGGGGTCACCAGGACCGCTGTGGGCAGGACCGGGCTCTGAAGCCCACAGTCCGCCGCTTCTGTACCGTGGCGGGCACCGGCCTCTGTGCTTCACCTGGGAGTCAATCTGCTGCCCTGTCCCCGGGTCGACCCCTTTGGCCTGTTCTGGCAGCTTCTGTGCGGCAGGCTGCTGCAGCCCTCGGGGCCCGCCCCTGCCTGCTGTCAGCACTGTCCGCCCGCCTCAGTTGTCCAGGGTGGGTTCTGGGGACACGGAATGGCCTGAGCAGCCTGGTCTTGGCACCTGTGTTGGGCAGCTCTGGAGAGAGGTTGGGGGCAGCTGGCTAGGCCAGTACGGAGACCACAGGACGCTTGCCTTTCTGCCCGGGAGGAGCCAGCCTCCAACTGTGGGCGGGGCCTCTCGGCAGAGGCCGCTGAGACCCTGGCGGGTGGAAGTGGGGGCCTGGGGTGGGGGGCTGGGCAGGGCGGCGAACAGGAGGTGGCCCTGGATCTCAGACGAGAGAGGCTGCAGCTCTCGTCCAGACTGGGCTGGCAGGAATTGCCCAGGCAGCACCTCTGGGTCGGGCTGTGAGTGGTGGCCGGGAGGACACAGGCTGGGGACCACCCTGACCCCAAGCCCAGCAAGCCTATGGCGGGAGCAGCCCCAGGGCGCCCAGGGCCACACCCAGCAGCAGGCAGAGGCGCAGGCTGCCCGAGGGGCCCGCGGCCGAAGTCCACGCCCGGTAGCTGTACAGCCCT